CAGAAGTCTGCCACGCCTAGCAGCATGTCCTTTTGCGGTTTTTGACACAATTCAGCCTAGGAATTGCTTAGTTTACGCTTTCAAAAGGTTTTTTCGTCAATGAATACCAATTAGTGACAAAACGTGTATATGCTAATGGCCGGTAATATGTGAAGTTGATTCCAAGTGATAAAAGTGGATGAGGGTGTTGAATAAGGTGGAACTCAAATCTTCAACAATCCTGGCGGAATACAGGCACACAGAGTAAGAGTAGTATAGAAGCATAATCTGCATTAAAAACCTCATATTCTTAATTTTATCTTATTATTACCCTGTTTGGATTCTCGACAGAACGCATGCCCATCCACTTTCGCTGTCGCGCAAAACATGGTGTTATATGTAGGTGCAATTTGGGGGAGGTTTGCTATTTAAGGGCAGCTAATGCTGCGTTCATCATTGCCTAAATAAAAGAAATGTCTAGAAGCATTTGTAGATCTGTTTTCCTGTTAGCTGTGGGTGAATTTGTATGGTCATGTTTCAACTCTGTCTGATTAGCGTCTGTGTAACACCACTGATGCATTAACATATCCAGACATTAATAAATTAATTCATGTTTAAACCGAAGGATAATTTGGTGTTATATTTGGACTTGTTAATTTTGGATTTAAAGGTGGTCATTGAAAAATCTAATAGACTAAACTTCGAAAAGTTAAACTTGCGACATCGTCATTTAGCAAGCTAAAAGTTACTGTTTAAGTGTAATTAGGATAGCAACAGCAATATACCGCGCATTCGAAGAAGGACGAATTCGTCTGCTAACTTTGAGCATTTTTATTTTATTGCACTACGCAATCAGCGCAGAGATAATAAGGTCATTTGCAATTTAACGGAGGGTCTTTTTTGTTAGAATTTCTGTTATTACTTGCAAACAACAGTGAATGATCGCGGCAAATTTCTTGCCTTTTCGATCACAGAGCAATTTTATTAGTAAATTAAATTATGACATTTAGTAAATTATTAGTAAGCTATGGCCATCGTAAAAAAGGCACTTTAAAATTTCCAAGCAATGTCAATTTTTGGTGAATATGTGCTAAAAATTAATTTGTTAATTTGTGTTCAAATCATTAGTTCTTTCCGCTGTGCTGAGATTTTTAGCAGTATTTAAGAACATTCTTCCTTAATATTTGTCTTTTTGACATTGTTTGGTCAGGGCACTTTAGGAGCTCATGTTTTGTGCCTTATATATTTTCATTCCTACAATGTGCAATTTTTTCCCTAACGCAATAAAACTTGTACGTGATGTCAAAACGAATACTTCGTACGAACACATTGCACGGCAGCTAGTCGTACCTCTACCTAACTGTAGGCTGTTTAACAATGGTTAAGCGAAACCCAA